CAGATGGAACAGAAGACTCTGATTTCTCCACTGATCCTGAACATACAGACAGCTCCGAAAGCGATGGCACGTCGCGGCGATCTGCCCGTGTGACCCGTTCCTCAGCCAGACTTAGTCAGAGCTCTCAAGGTGAATGCTTTATTTTCCTAAATGCCTAAGTGGCAGGAGGCTGGATGTACTCTGTCTTCCTGACCTTTAGAACGTGTTGAGTTTACACCTAAATAAAATTATTTTATTTTTTGTTGGTGGGTATTGCGGTACCAAGGAAAAGAACAATCTCATGTAAGCGCACTTTGCGCAAATGAGATGATATAATCTAAAGACTAAATTGGTGGTGAAACTCAAGAATCTAATATCTTCTGCTTAAAAAGTAAAGTTGCCTGCCTATTGAATGAAAGGGGAATTAAAAGCCTTGATTCTGCTGCCAGCTTTGACTAATTTTTCTGAGACCTCTAAAATTTTACTTTCCGTCTAGTTATTTACTTAGGTACCAGAGTAGTCACATGGTGTCAATACAGAGAGGGTGTTCAGGAGTGAAAGTTGGTTTTGTTTGCTTTGTTTGTTTGTTTTGGGTTTTCTCTGCCGCAAGGGAAGGTAAACTTTCATGACTTTTTGAGGCTATTCTGCAGTAAAAGTAATCAACATATTGGCAGTTATTTTGTATACATCTACTTTGGCTTCAGATTGTAAGAGGATATGTTGAGTCTTTCTACCTGGTCGTTTTTAGTTTTAGTTTAGCTGTTTCACTGGTAGTTAATAACAGGAAATGAAATGCCATCTGGCATCCAGAGGAGGAAATGACAGTGGATATTAAGTTCTTTACCTTGTTCTGTTTATACTCTTTGACAAAGAACCTGTTTTGTGACAAATTTCCTTGCAGGTAAGAAGTATGCGTGCATAATCATCTGATGGTTATGTCTTGAAAAACAAAAGGAAATGTGATTTGCATCAGTGCATGGGATGCCTGTGATTTTCCTAGGGAGCAAAAGTATCACTTTCCTGTAAGATGGTCAGTTTTGTAGCCTTTTAAGCCGGATAGGATGCCCAAACCACACAGAGGGTTCCGAATATAGTTCCATACCAGAAGCAGCCTTGATTTTCCCAAGGGTTGCCTAAAACTAATAGTTCTTATTTAAACTAATGATTCTTTAGCTTTTCCGATGGGAGCTGTTTTGTAATTACTAGTTACGTAAATAAGTCCAGAGAAAGTTGATCTAGTCCCAGATTGCTCGGTATTGGTTATAGTGTCAAAGATTTAACCTCAGAAGAATAGAGCAGATCCTTGTGATAACATGCAATGGTGAGATGTGGGAGGACAGAACTGTTTGTTGATATCCAGCTATCGCATGTTGATATCGGAGACTTCAGAGCACGCTTGAGTTAAGTTACTTACAGTGGTTGTTGTATGTGTGATTATGGTGTCTCTGTTGAATTAGATTCCAGCCCAGTTCGTAATCCACCATCGTTTGGAGCAGAAGAGCCTGTCTATTCTACAAGGAGAGTAACTCGCAGCCAACAGCAGCCCGCTCCTGTGACTCCAAAGAAATACCCGCTCCGGCAAACCCGATCGTCTGGGTCAGAAACTGAGCAAGTGGTTGACTTTTCGGATAGAGGTATGTGGGGTGCAGTGAGGCTTTGGGATTTTGCAAAATGCAGTGGGAAAGAGCGTATGACTTACTCTCTGAGGGCACAATACAGTACCCTGAGGATACTCAGGAGTTGCTTTACTTATTTTTCTGAGAGCTTTCTTCCATGTAAATTTGTAACATCTTGATCCTTATTCAGACACTAAAAATGCAGCTGATCATGATGAGTCTCCACCTCGCACCCCTACTGGGAATGCCCCTTCCTCCGAGTCTGATATTGATATCTCCAGTCCAAACGTATCACATGATGAGAGCATTGCCAAGGACATGTCCATGAAGGATTCGGGAAGTGACCTGTCTCACCGCCCTAAGCGCCGCCGCTTCCATGAGAGCTACAATTTCAACATGAAATGTCCCACTCCTGGTTGTAACTCCTTAGGTAATTTCAACTCAAGAATTAATGTGTTAGTTTTTGCCTTCCTGCTGTGATATTCAAAGCCCTGCTCAGTTAAGTAATACATCCTGACAGTACGCATTTAATTAGTATCAGGAATGTTGCTGGGAAGTGGATATAGAGAAGGGATATGGAGTACATCTGTAGGTATACTCTTTCACAAGGTGTTTTTGGCTAGAAGTGTTTGGAGGATGATGGGATGAAGAACAGGTTAAGAGTACTAGCACAGGTTTGGGAGGAAAATGCAGAATCCCGCAGGTAAGGTACTGGTCTCCACCAGAAGCAGGTATTCAGAGGCAAATTAATGCAATCCTCTGATATGTCTGGCTGCTTGTATGGGGTGCAGCCTTAGGGCTCTCGTGAGAGGGATTTTCCTCCTTTGTTCTAAAAGATGTGCCGTGAACCGTGACAAGTGTTCGTCCCATCGTGCTGGTAATAAACTTAGCATACCCCTTGAGAAGCTCATATGTGGTATCTAGACTGCTCTTTAAACTTCTTCATTATATCTTAAAAGCTTTTTTTCTGATCCTTCGCAGGACACTTAACTGGAAAGCACGAGCGTCACTTCTCCATATCAGGATGCCCGCTATATCATAATCTCTCAGCAGATGAGTGCAAGGTAGTTGAGTCGCCTATTTGGCTTTCTTATGCTTTTATGAAACAAAATGCCATGACAGGTCACTTGTCAACAGAAAGTGGAGCTACCATGTTCCAACTGATGTCTTTAGCTGTAAGACAGCAGCATGGGTGTGTCACATCATCTGTGAATTACAGTTCAGAGAATTTGCCTAGGCGGAAACGTAAAAGATGAAGGCCTTGATATAGTTTGCTGCAGTATTGACAGATGACTTTTGACTTCCAGGTGCGAGCACAGAGCCGGGATAAACAGATTGAAGAGAGGATGCTGGCCCATCGGCAGGATGACAACAACAGGCACGCCACCAGACACCAGGTAGGCAATCTGCACGTGATAGAATGGCTTCTCAACTAGAAGTAGAAAAACTCAGCTTGTGGTTTCCAATGACAAGTACTTTAACTTGATCTCCCTTCTTCATGTCTCAGATAAGCTGTTACGCTGAGTCTTGGCACTCCCCGTTTGTCATCTCCAATTTGTTTGAGCATGGGAAATGCATTGTATCCCTTAAATGAGAAACTGGAGCAGCTAGTGAGACCGCAGAGGTGGCATTTCCCAGTAATAATACAAAGGAGGCTGGAGCTCTTCTCAGGATGATCCTCTCTGTGTGCTTTAATGTATCTGACAAGAGAATTTCTGCAGAACTATAAAACTCAATTTTACTCTGACTAAATCCAAAAGAATAAAACGAGGGGAATTACATTTTTCAGTTCATGAACCTTGGAATCAAGTCAGGATGACTTTATGAATTGGCTCTGAGCTTTTCCACCTGACTAAACGGGTGGATAAGGATA